AAACAGTTGTGTGCACATTTTTTCACAAGACACTTAGCAATGGAGAGAACTTTATATTTCTTCATTTAAGAAATGTCACCTTTTAAGGAGCATGGTGTTTCACACAAGCCATCTTGGGCAGTAAGCCTGCAGAAAGCCCCTGCCCCTATGCTTTTTTGAGTTGAGTAGGCTTATTCTTGGGTCAAGGATGCCTTTATTTTACTCAAATTTTAAAAGCAGTCTCGGGACCAAAGAACCCAGCTCCACATTTAGGCATCGTTAGCTGAGGACTGGCTGTATTGCTGCAGTGGAACCCATGCCTAGTCTTGCACATAAACTGAGGGCTTTGTTTACTTCTGCCTGCTGAATACCCTCCAAGCAAAGAGACAATATTGTCTCTTACATAAAAGTCAATAGACTTTTTGATTAGCGTAAGTACTGTACACACAGAACTAAACAATTTGATTTTTGGTACCCCTGGCACTTTGAAGCCATCCAGTTGCTGGAGTGCCCTTCGTGGAAATGAACCAGTGGATTCCCAGACAAGCTGGTTAAGAGGATTCAGATTTGATCTCAATATTCAGCGTGGGCCAAGGGCATCCAAAGCCAAATGAAGTGTGGGACAAAAAAGGAGGCAGTTAGCAAATGCTGCGTGGCCACCACCCTACAATTCAGTCATCAGTAAACCAGCATTTACCATTTCTTCTGAGTTATAAGTTGGCCTGGGAGTTTTGATCGGGGTTGGGCTCAACCAAGCTGGGCTTGTGTTTGTGTGGGTCAGCCTGCCACCATCTCAGCTGTAACAGTTTTAAATGATCTCATGCACTCTTGGGCCTTCAGCAAGTGAGACAGAACTCTAAAAAAGAAGGTGAAAAGCTACCCCCCGCCCCAGTCTTTGGTTGTATTTAGGTTCACTTCTAAGGTCAAGCCCATAGTCAACAAGGAGCTCTTAATACACAAGAAGGAGCCAGACAGCCCAAAGATTAGGATCATTCCGTCAGTCTGCCACCAGCATGTACTCAGATATTCTTAAGTAGGGTATGTGGTTCTGAGACCATGGTTTCTAAGTTTCTCCTTCTCTGTAATACTCACTTTTGTGGATCCTGACCTGGGCCAGCCTGACCCATCTGGTTCTGAGCGTGCTCCTTCCACCTGGCCTCTCAGCATTTCCATAGCAGCTAACTCTCCAGAGAAGAAATCTGGATACTGAGACAGCGCACTGAGTCTTCTGGATATATCCCATCACATCCAGCACTCAAGTCCAAAGAGAAGGTCTTTCATTAGATAACAATCAATCAAGTTAATCTTCAGATAGAAAAGTGCTCTGTGATATATTCTGCTAACCAGTAAACAAAGACACCAGTAGCATACATGAAAGCATGATGAGAATAAGCTTCCTGCATGGACCTTTGGAGAAGGGGACTGAAGATCTAAGGTATGTGCATGGTAAAGCAGTAGCATCAGCTGGAGGAACCCTCCGCCACCACACGGGGCTCGCTTCTTTTTTGCTAAACTCTTTTCTGCCATGCACCCCTCAATTACATGGCATTCCCCAATTAACATGGTATCCCAAGAGCTTGGTGCTTCTCTCACTGCTTCACGGAAGCAAACAAGTGTGGAGAGGTCAAGTGATTCACTCAAGAGATTGAAAACAGAAACATTTCAAAGTAGGTTGTGTGTAACTCAGAACACGCTCCTTTACAGGGTATTTATAGGTATTGGTTTCCTAGAGCTGTTTTTAACCAAGCAGCACTGCAGTGCGGGTGCCATGAGCTATGCAGTTAGCTTTCACAGCCCTAGAGGCCAGCAGTCTGGCGTTCTGAGGGCTCTGAGGCCAGTGTCTGCTCCGGAGCCTCACCTCAGCTGAGTGGCAGCTGTCTCCTGTTTCTCCTCACATCATCTTTCCTCTGTGCCCATCCTCCGTATCCAAATCTGCCCCTTGGAAAATGACACCATTCCCACTGGATTAGGGCCCCACCTTACTGCACTCAATTCAGCCACATCTGGAATGACCCTGTTTCCAAATGAAGCCACATTCTGACCCACTGGAGTTGGACATGTCAACATCCGAACAGGATGGTGGGTGCAACCTGTAACGGCCACTGTCTCTGCTGACCCCGGAGATCAATGGTGCAGTGAAAAGGGGTAATTCATTCACTGACTAACCTACAGCAGATGCTTTGCCATCTTAGCATGTCTAACATGAGATTCTTCTTCCTGATTCACACAGTCACTGTCAGGAGAAAGTGAGTTAAAAGCTCATCACTGCAGACACCCTTCTTTCCCTACCACTACCCCCAGATGCACACATCTGTCACCCAAGAAAGTAGGAGGCGGCAGCCACCCACAGTCTCTTTGATTCTCCTTACCTGGCATCCCTTTCATGCATGCAGGGAAGGCCCTGTGGGCGCCACTGGCAGATGCAGGCCCTGTGTCCCCCACTGCAAATGAGACACACAACGTCCAGGTGCCCTCTTTTGCCCAAGGTACTGTCATGGCCTTTGCATGAACACAGGTTGCAGACCTGGTCCCAGAAGTGGCAGCTGGCACTCCCAGCACCTAGCTGTGGGGCTGAGAGGCTGGTGTCCTGACACAGGCGTGACTCCACGCACAGAGGAGTGCCCGGCAGATGCTTGGAATCAGCTAGACTCATCCTGCAAAACACACCATTTCTCTTCTGCGGAAAGGAAGATGATCCACCAGTGTAAGAAAACACCTTCTCCCATCTCATTGCTAAGTATATTTTGGGCTCTGCCCAGGAGAAAGCTCTCTGCCCAGCATCCCTGCCAAGCTGGGCCGCACTGTGCTCCAAGGTCGTGCTCTCACAAGGAAACACCTGTGGCTCTCCTCTTGCACTACCCTCTTTCTCCCCAGATAAACACAGGCCAGGACTCCTTTGCTCAGGGCAAAGGAGCCTTTGCAGCCACACTGCTCTGGAACTTCAGTATCATGACTGGCATCTTAGGGAACACAAAGGACCCTCATGAAAAAAAGATGCAAGTCATAGTCACAGTAGTAAAATAAAGGGACCACAAGCTCCCACTCACTGAGCACATACTGGACAGGTCGCTTCTGTTAGGTCACTTCAGCTCCAATCTTTGAGTATGATTTGTTTGTGCAGGAGACAGGAACAGAAGCACGGAGGTAGTTTACCTTGCCCAAGGTCAGGTGGCCACACTTAGTGGTAACTTCCTTAACCAAACAGTGGTAAGGCACTCTGGGTTACATACACCAGTGTGAACAATGAGATCGTCCTTGGGCAAGCAAATTCATCAAGTCCTGGCGCAGCATGTCATGTTTAATGTCCCCTAGGGACTCAGCAATTAGGAATACTGCCAGCTGTCTCGCTCAGTGCTCCCTGGGCCCACTGCCCATACATGTTTTGTTCCTACAGTGTTTTTTCCTACACTGTCTTAGTTACATTTTCACTGCTGAGATACAATACCCAACACCCACAACTTAAAAGGAGAAAAGTTTTATTTTGGCTCACAGTTCGTAGAGGTTTCAGTCAACAGTCAGCTGGCTCCAAGGCAGGCAACATGGCAGTAGGTCATGGCAAAGAAGAAACAATTCATGCCATGATGGGCAAGAAGGCGACAGGGATCAAGGGTGGAGGAGTATATGTCTACTTATATGTGTGCTTATTTCCAGGCCATGTACCCAGGGCTTCCCCTTCCATCATCACCCCACAAGCTATAAAGGAACTCACCAGTGGATTAATCCATACCACACAGCCATGATCCGGTCACCTCCTAGAAGTCCCACCCAAGAGCCCATGAGGCTTTGGGGGCACATCCAGATATAAGCCGTAGCAGACACTTTACCTCTTCTCACAAACCAAGTTTCCCTCCTCAATGAGAAGGGGCAGGAAAGTAGCTCAGAATACATGGCACCGAAGGTACAGCCTTCCCACCTCCAAAGCCAAGCTGGAACATACCCAGGTCTTCAGGACAGTTGCTGAAGGGTGTCCCTGGGCTCCTCAGAAATCTCAAAACCCCCCATGGAACCCATAATTTAGTATTTAAAATTGTGTTGTACAGAAACTGTCCCTGTTCTTATTCACAGCCAAAGCACTTTTCAACAAGCACACCCCACTCCTACCCTTACCTCCTTGCCTCAGTTTTCTGTAACAGAATACTTGAGATAATCAACTTGCAAAGACAAAAGGTTTATTTGGCTCACAGTTTGGGAAGTTTAAGTCCATGGCCAACTTGCCTGCTTTGGCAGCATAACATGACTGGGAGCACGTGGTAGAGAGCAAACTGTTTACCCTGCAGCTGAGACACAAAAGGTAGTAGAAAAAACATCCTGCAGTTCCTTTTGAAAACATGCCCCTCATGCTCTAATAACACCCAAAAAACTCACTCCCTAAGTTTCCACCACCACCCGACAGGCTGGAGATTAAACCTTAACGCAGAGGCTTTGGTTCCAGGTCCAAACTACCGCAGCTTCCAACGAAACCCTTAGATGGTCCACACAAGGTGACTTCAGAGCTGTCACCCAGCAAAACAGCAAGCTTGTGAATCAGTTAACCGGACTAAAAGGCAACAGACACACCCTTCTTTAGATACATCCTAGAAAGAAGTCTGACCGGCCCGGGAACCTCTGCAGGGAAGGGAGACACCTTTCTCTCCCCACTCATCAGCATCTGTGCAGCCAGCTTCAGTCTCCTGGGGCCACTAAAACTGTGCTCCATGCTCAAATGGAAAATTTGTTCATTGCCCAAAGTGAAGCAAGGCTGAGAAGCATGACAAAGATGAGAGCAGGGCCTGACCACGCTGTGGTGCTTGTCAGCCTCAGGCCCAAAGCACCCATAGGATCCTCCCAGGAGGCCTGGGAACTTGAGCTGCCAGCCTCCAACCCTGTCCAGGGGCATCGGTGCTGAGACCTGGACAATAGGGGATGCACTGGGTGACGTGGGGGAGACTTGCCCAATGAAGCAAGTCAGGAGGGCCAGCTGCTAGCACAAATGCAGCTCCCACCCTGTATCAGAGTTCACTAGAATAACAGGTGCAATATAGTATGTTTTTATTTCTTTATTTTTATGATTTACAAGGCAGGCTAACAGTGGCTGCCCTGCAGTCAGGTGTGGGAAGAAACCGAAAGGGCCGTCTGTGTGCTGCAGACTGGAACGATCCAGTCAAAGCTGGAAGACCTGGAGCTCCCTGCAGAGTCCTGCTGGAGTCCACATTGGGCAGCCTGAAGGGTGTGTGCACAGCTGGAGAATCTGCTGGAAGCCGGTGAGGGCATCAGAAGGTGATGGCGAAGACTAGCTCCTCCAAAACACCAGAAGTGAGACTTCTTCCTCCTTTGCCTTTTTAGTCCACTCAAGCTGCAAGACAACTGGTGGTGCCACACATGGGGGGCATGCTGTCCCCCTTCCTAAGTTCATCCTTCAGCCACAGCCAGAAGTGGGCATTTCTAATGCAGGTAACTCCAGTTAACTGTGCTGTAGCACTGCTACTGTCCCGCCTGCCTCTGGGAGAAAGGGTCGTGCAGCAGAGTGGCAGCACCTTAGATTCTCACGTACCAGAGAGAACCTTGGCCCCTGCCTCCCAGAACACCCCGCTGAGGAGGAGAGCAAGGCTCCATCAGCAAGTCCTACCTGTGAACCCGTGTGAGCCACCACCAGGTGAACGTGACTTTCCATCCAGGGACTGCAGAATCACAAACGATTTCTGGGCAATCAGTCCTACCGCCCCTGCTCTCACAGGAGGCCACACAAATCCAACAGTAAATTACATTTTATTCATTTACAGAGAGATCTTGGGTAAAAAGGTGGCAGTGGGCAAATAGCACTCAGGTGAGGAGCCCCGAGGAGGAGCCTGTTATAAATACGTGGTGTGCTCAGGGCCAGTGGAGCAAGTGTGGGGTCCCCAGGCAGCCGTGCGGGAAGGAGCAGGCTTGGAAAGGTTGAGACCAACCCCTGCAGGAGCAGACAGCTGCGCCCCAGCCTGCTCCCCACTCCCGCAGCCCAGAGCAGGAAGGACAGTTCCCTTTAACATCCCGGCAGCAGGTGCAGGGAGGAGAGGGGTCCTCCGTGGAGCTGGCAGCATGGCTGCCAATGGAGGAGGCAGACAGCTGTCCTCTCTCTCCTTCCACAGGATGAATGATTAAAACTCCCCACATCCTGGTTCTTGACAAAGGAAAAATCCGTTCTGTGAACCCGATGCTTGCCTACTCATCCGCCTGTCTACGCAGTTCTGCACGGCAAGTTCCATCCATTCCCAGGCCCTAGAGTGTGGCAGGTGACTGGTGATTCCCGAGTGTGGTCGCAGGGTGTGAAATGCCACTCCCAGGTGGTTGTGTGGGGCCCTAGAGGCTGGGGCTACAGCAGCTTGACGTAATTCTGGGGAATCAGACCCCTCTTGCCATTCAGAGTCCCTTCGAGCCAACCAGGTTCCCTCGAGGTTTGTACTAGAAGGAAGAGAAAGCACGGTTAGCAGCATGCCCTGTCCCACACCTGCTGCTGACTGCACCTCGGGTGTCACTGGAGCCCCGCAGGGAGCAGCCAGGAGAGAAGGGGACTACAGCTGGGGTACCCACTAACAAAGTCTGCACAGGGGGAACTGCTCTGTCCCATGGACTGGCCACCAAAACTCTTCTGTCTTCCTGTAACATTCTCTCCTTACTCTCTGTGATTCCCATCTGCCCCATCCAACCCACGAGGCACCAGGTGAACTTTGTAGGCACAGGGCAGAGCAAGTCACTCCCCCATCAAGGTCACACTCAAGCTTCCTACTGCCCCGCCCACCCTACCAGCAGCACCTCACAGTCCCATAGCGCATCTTACTGTCTGCTGCCCTGAATTATTGGGGAAGCCCTACGTCTTGGCATGAGTGGTGTCCTCATACCTGGAACTCTCTCTGACCTCCTCACCAGTAAGTTCTTTCTCCTCAGAGACCTGTGGACAGCTCCTCCCCTGGATGTTGGAAGTCAGTCAATTCCTCAGCACTGACAACCTCTCCAGGGCATCACCCAGGCCTGTTCTCACTGGCTCACTGGATGAAGAGTCTGAGGATAGGCCTGGCCTTTCCCATCTGGGCACAGAGCTGGGCCCATGGTAGGTGCCCATAAACACTTGTGATGCACACATGCAACCAGGGTTGACCAGTGAGGCACAAGTTACTGCCCCACTCACCAGGGTGTGGAAATCAAATACAGAGATGCTTAGTGGCTCTGAGAGTCCCACAGCCACAGCCAGGAGCAGCAGTTCTGTGCCTAAAGCAGAGAAGGGCTCCCTGCAGCTCAGCTCAGGAACTAGCTCTAGGACGCGGCTTCTGATTCCAAGCCACAGGAGCTACTTACATCACAAACAAGAGTGCACACACTACCCGACACACAGTGCTGTTCAACTGACTCCTACTGTGCACAGTACCCTCTCTTCTCTGTCTTTTTGAAAGCTGGCTGACCAACTGAATTCATAATCCACTATTTTGTAACAACGGAAGACACTGACCAGCCAACTCTATGCCCTTCCAAACAAGGTACCCCCACTTCTGACAGTGGAACTCAGTGAGGTAAATGAAAGGATTGGGGCCCAGATTGGACTCCGTAGCCGGTAAAGCCTTGGAGGCAGAACCCGCCCCTAGGAATTTACCTGTGGTTCTATCTTCCCCACTCCTAGGAATTTGCCTGTGGCACGAAATGAATTCCAGTGGGATACCTGTGCATCACTAATGCCCCTTAGGCTCCACCCCAAACCTAAGCTACATGTATGTCCCCACTCCACGTGTCCGACGGAGAGATTGCCAGACCCCAGAAAGAATGCCAGCCCCCAGAGGTGATGCCAGACCCCAGAAGGTCGGGGGTCTCTCCCTGCATTCTTAAAATATGGGTCATTTATATTTCATACTTATCAGCCGCGCCACAATTCCATCAGTAAACACCTACTCCTCCTCTTGGAAGATGTAAGTGTGCATCCTGGCTGTCTGCATCATCCTGGCCTTCTGCTGTTTCTTCACATTCACCGAACTTCCTGCATTAGGCTCTCTACAGGCTTGCTCCATCCACCGTGTCTGGATAGCACCAATCAGGCCTCAGACATAGGCGTCAGCATCCCCTCTGCAGACCTGCAACTCTCTCCCAGACCAGATGAGGGCCTGGCACACGCCCTGCATATTGCACATGTGTCAGCCTCTCCTAGCCTGGGATACAACACGAACACATCACAGACGTTTAACCTGAGAATTCTCATGGCACCCACCACAGTACCAGCCTCACACACACACATGCACGCGTGCAATTGCTTGTGTAATTTACTTGTGTAATGAATGATATACAAACCAATCAAGGATATGCTCTCAAGCTGATATGGAAGCACGTCCCTTGCTTCATATCCTTGATTACCTTCACCCTGACATTGTAACACAGCAAGATTTGTAAAGGTTTCTCAACTTTACCTACACCCTCAATGCGGCAAGGCCACCAATGTGCAGCCGCTGTCAGGGAAAATGATTAGGTTCTATGCAAAGGGCCCCCTCAGAGACTTGGCAAAGTGGCCTCCTGAGGGGACAGGTCCTGGGGCTGAGGCGAAAGACCTGGAGGAGACTCCTGGCTGATACATGCTGGCAGAGAAATGACTACACCCTCGCAAGGTACACAGAAGCCCTCTGCACGTGCTTAGCATTTCTTCTCCTGTGCATACACATCCTGATAAAAGCACAGGTGAGGCATGAATAAAAGATAGGATGAGCAGAAAAGAAAGACAGAGAGGAAGGGAGCAGAGGGGAGGGATTTCCACAATGTGTGGAAAGGGAGACTTAGACAGAAAACCAGGGCCAGGCCAGGAATCCTCCCTGTCCCTATCGACATACAGATGCTCATCCATGCCCCTGTTGTCCACCTCCCAGCCCTTCCCAGGAGTCCTGCTGACTAAGAGAGAAAACCCCTGAGGCTCCTGTATCTCCCAAGGGGCTAGAAATGGCCCAGGGAGGGCAGCAGTAGAATCAGACAGAAAGTGTTGAACCCCCAAAACTGGGCATCCCCTATCCTGCAGCTCCTGACCCAGACCAACCACAAATGGGCCCTTCTCTGTCCACCATGCTCTGTGTTTAGTCTCGGTCAAGGAGCCTGGGCCTGTTTTGCACAGCTGGGCAGCCAGGCATTGCAGAGCAGGGACACTGACCGACCCTGAGGAGCAGTGGCTACCTTGCACACAAGCTCCAAGAGGTAACACGCTTGGGAAAGAGCAGGGAACATGACCTACAGACAGCTGCTTCTAGCTGTCCAACACTGGGCTGCCACCAGTCACAATCTCCTGTAGGGAAACGGGCAAATAACAGCTCCACAGTTCATTCCAGGAGGCTCGGAGGCGCACACAGGACACAGGTAGATGGAACAGGACTCACAGACCCTGGCCTGCCCCTTGCAAACTGCAAGACCCTGGGAGAGCTGTGTGTCCTCAAAACCTGATGACAGTTCTCAGCAATGCTCCTGGCATTAAATGTTTTTAACTGTAGTGAAACAGGTACAGAAAATGCACCACTCTGACCATGTGAAAGCATACGATTCAGTGGTGTTAGGCAAGTCTCGCCATTATATAGCCATTCTACCTGTGTAGAACTTTTTCATCTCAAACTGAAGCTACACACACATTGAGCAATAATTTTCCAGTCTCCCTCCTCCAGCTCCTGGCAGCCTCTATCTGATTTGACATCTCTATGAATTTGCCAAGCTAGGTATTTCACATAAATGGCATCACGATATTTGTCCCTTTGTGCCTGGTTTATTTCACCTACTGTGTCTTCAGGCTTCATCCAGGCGGTAGCAGGTATCAGGGTTTCCTTCCCTTCATGGCTGGTAACCTTGCTTTGTATGCGGAGGCTACATTTTGTTTATCCTTTTGTAAACTGATGGGCCTGTCTCCATCTTTTGGCTACTATAAACACAGTGCTGCTGCTTTGTCCTGCTGGCTGCTTTACACCCTTCCAGAGCAGTCAGGAGCTCAAATAGTAGGTTCTCTGACCCCAGCTATAGTTAAAGTGAGGTTTTATCATACAAGTCCACACCTCAAGTAAAATATTTTGACTTCTGAGCCTCACTAGCATTTAACATCCGGCACTTAACATTGTTTTTTCCTAAGATTCCCCTATAGTGCGCATATATCAAGAAATATATGGGTTGTAAGGGCCACACAAGATCATCTTTCCAGGATGAGGCCAAATTGTTTTTCAAGGATTATTCTGTCTGTTTGAGATCTTTGAATTTTAATTACCGGAGGCTTTTAAGGATTAATCAGGGTCGCACCTGCTCCCCAAGCAAATGGGGACGTCATGTCTAGGCCTATAAACCAACACAGAACCAGGGGCCACAAGAACCCAAGCACACTTGAGAGCCCTGAGCACGTGTAGGATCGCCCTCTACAGGCCCTGGAGTCCTCCCAGGCAGCCGATCTGATGGATATCTGGTTTCTACAGTTTCCCAGGCCCAGGGAAAAGGGAACAGGGTCCCTGCAGCACCTACAGGAACAGCTCCACCCCAACAGGATCTTGCAGACCCTTCCCTAAAAGTACAGAAACAATTCATCAGCCAGGAACTTGCACCCCTTTCCTGCAGCCCAGACTCTACAGTGAGAGCACAGAGCAAGGACCAGCTGTGAAACTATGTAATTACCAAAGACCACCCTGCCATCCGCTGGTTTAGAATTTCTCACTGTGGTACACATTCCAAGCCCTGTAACTACTGCCAATGTGGCCAAAGGGTCACTCTGACCTGAATTTTGTTTTCTTCAACTGGTTTCCCTTACTGCCTGTGGGAACAGAAGAAGGATTTGCATGGCAAGAGCTTGAAGGCATTCCGGAAGATTCCAAATGCAGAAGTGGCCACAGGAAAACTGTCTCGGGTGTTTCAGGGACACTGAGCGCCTATCACTAGTCTGCGTAACGGACACTCCTGTGGGTTCAACACTTGTAAATGGTAACAACAAAATGTAAACAACAGTTGTAAATGTACTTGGAGCACTGCCTGGCTCCACAACACTGAGGTCCCATGACCTGCCTGTATGGCTTGTTCTGTGTCTGACTTTAGAAGAAAAGACCCCACATCTACTAGAGGAAGGGCTTCACACAGCACTTTCTGGAAAAGCAAGGGATTGCTTTTAACTAGCTGAGTGACCAGCTGCACATGGAATCAAGGGAAGTGCAACACAGAAAGCAAGCAGCCTGCTCAAGTGCCTTCAACCTCCAGTGCCCTTTAAGAACCACCCCTAGGAAGCAGCAAGTCTCAGGGTACCTTCTGCTGAGCTCATCAGCACCCCTAGTAAAGGATCAGGGAGGCTCTTGCAAGACACATAGCTCCCAGCAAATGACATGTCACCTATTTGGTTAAGGAAGGGTTGTCAACATGTCAACAGGCATCTTTGGAGTACAAAGTCATGAGGGGCAAAGGGAGAAACTGCCAAGACTCCCTGTGTGCTCCAGCCAGCAGGCCTAGACTGAGCTGGACACTTGTACCACCTGGCACCAAGTTAGAGGGACACACAAACAGTGGGAAACACAGCCACATCCACAGCACACCATGATGCACCCTGCAAGGCACCACAGTTAGCAAGATTTTTTGCACCTGTAGGCGAAACTCAAAAATCGCATTTTCCAGTAGTCCCAAATGCTAGCCTAGTGACATATGGAATCTGGGGAAACGGGGAGGGGTGACAATTGGGCAGATATCTTTGAAAATTAGGACAATGAATCTGATGCAAACATTACCGAAGGAACGTGTCTGGGATCACACAGAAAGTAAAACAGCCCAGATCAGACTTTGATAAAATGATTGCAAAGTATAATCACTTTCTCTCTCACAAACACACCCAGATACTCTTACGTATGCATGTGCACGTGTGTGCATGTGCATGCATGTGACTATGTACACCTTCATGTATGTGAATACTCACACCCTTTTTTCAGAGCACTTCTGCAAGTTATGAAAGGATTTTAGAGCTGGAGAATTAAGTCTCATGGGTCGCTGACCTCCTGGCCTTCCTCCTTTCCACTGGCCGCAGACCCAGACTTCAGCACAAAGCCTCATTCACACGGCTGTGTGGGGCATGCACGCTCAGCACAGGTCTCACTGGTCTGAGTCCTTGTTGGTCACGGGCTTAGGGTGAGAGCATCTGACCCAGGTCTGACTGCTCAGTGGCTAGAGCAGGTAAAGCAGGAGGAAAATTCTAGAGAAGTCTTCTCAGTGCTAAAACAGAAAAGCACAGAAAAGCCTCATTTCGCTCAAGCTGAGTGTGGCTAGGAGGCCTCCAACTGGCAACCATTTTGCCCAATACGGGAGGTGAATGTACAGGTAGAGCCAGGGTCCACATGGCCAAGCAGAGAACACTTCAGCAGAAGATGGAAATGCTTTGGTCTTTGACAGATGAGAATGTGAGCTAAGCAAGTAGAGCACCCCGCTTTCAGACCTATTACTCTGTAAGCCAACTGATTTACATGACTGATTGCATTTGTGTCCAGTTTTGTTACCTGCAGCCTAAGGCATTCTTACATATCTTCTGGCAAGGTAACCATTTCACAAAAAAATCCTATGCAAAAAAGTTCAGAGGCGCCTAAGGTGACCCTACAGGAAGTAAAAATTCCTCACCAGTTTTTGAATGGCTGAGTCTCACTACTAGTATCTTGGCTTTCCCTTCTGCTGTCTGCTGTGACAACATGTGACAGGTGTGGAGTGGGGCAGTTTGTGATCACACTCTCCTACCACAACTGCACATGTGTGTATTATGGTTGTGGAGGACAGATTATTGCTTCTACTCCAAGAACAAAGTTTCTTCACAAAGTATAATTCTGTCGTATGTCAGGGGCTGGTGCTGTTGTTTGTTTTCTGATGCTATCAGCCGTCTCTGGCGCTCAGGAGCACATACCGTGATCTAGCCTAAATGAAGCAACTTGCTTTCTAAAAAACAATCAGCAGCAAATGTTGCATTACTGACAACACACCACAATGCATTGTGTTGATATATTCCACAGACTCCAAACATTCTGGCTCATCAGCCATTCCATTCCAAGCATCCAAGGTTCCTGCTGCTTCCCTGGAACTCTTCTGGGGAGCTCCACCCACACACGACATCAATGTTTCCACAGCAACCAATGAATTCCATAATGAGCAGACTAGGGAGGGAAGAAAACTACAGCAAGGGGGGAAAATACATACACTGAAGCATGGGAGAAATCTGTGAAATATTAAGCCAGTCACAGCTTCTAAACACTTGTGTATGAATGATAAACATTCAAATAAAAATTCCCACTGCTGTTTCAGTATGCGAGGTCAATACCCACATCTGGAGATTCATATGCTCTTCAGGATGGGAAAAAACTAAAGTGTAGGAATGGTAACGGGGTTAGAAATCAAAACAGATTCAGCAAACCTGAAGCACTGAGGAGGCTCAGCCAGGGATTCTGAGAGAACCAAAAAAACAAAGGAGGTAGATCAGAAGTATTTCTTAACTCCACGCAGTACTAGCTCGTTCCCATAAATTATGTGAAAAGAGACTCATCATCAAGACTGTGGAAGGAAAGTTCCAGTCCTCAGCACAGAGCCCCTGGTGCTCAGGATCCGGAAGCCAAGGGCCTCAGCTCTCTCCTGCTGGGGGGTTTGCACAGCCCTAATCTGTGACCGCTTACTTACTCTATGTGAGAGACACTCAAGGGTATCTCCCACCACCACTTACCATCCTCAAAAATTGCTCCTATTTCAAAAGATAATTCCGAGCTATGTTCTGCTTCACATGGGTACACTGCTCGAGCTTTCCGATTGATGACACTGCGGAAGAAACGCAAATGAGATTCACATGAAAATGTGAAGAACTGGGAGAGAGAGCCTCCTGGTCCCGCCCAGCCCTGCCTCCCATTCCCCACATCTCATTTCAGGTCAACCGTGAGGCAACTCCTTCCAGAAAAGAAAGGAACAGAGACAAGAACATCAGGCAAAGTCTCAGCACTGGATTCTCAGGTAAACGGTGGGCTCCAAAGGCAGTGTTCTCCGTGGGAAGCCTCTGGGAAGCTGCTGCTGCACCACTGGCCTAATTCTCCTCCCAGCCTGGTGGGAAGAGCTTGTGCAGTGACCAGTGCTGTTGCAACCACGGGGTGCATTCGCCTCCTAAGCACTTCAGCTGCTCGTTGGGAAAAGCATCCCTGTGTGGACAGGCCAGCAGCAGAGGAACATGCTGAGCATGCTTCCAGTGAGCCAGGGCAATATTCTACTCTGTGTTACAACCCCAGCCATTTTTTAAATGATACTAGGGATTAAAACCAGAGCTTGCATTTGCTAGGCAAGCACTCAACTACTTAACAATAAAATCTGCCTTGTGGTTGTTGTTATTGTTGTCGTTGAGACAGAGTCTTAGTAAGTTGCCCAGGCTGGCCTTGAACTTCCAATCCTGCTGCCTCAGCCTTCCAAGCCTGGACTTACAGTATGTGCTACTTCGGTAGGCTCTGGTGTTTAACTGACCACCAGACCCCATGCTCCCCTGCCTGTCAAGACTTCCTATGTGCCCTTGTGGGAGGAGGAGGGAAACCATACTTTCAGTCAGATAGGAACCAAAGTAGAAGCCAGTGCTCTGCCTCTTCGGAGTTGGGAAAGCCACTCGGAGTTGAGAGTGACCTTTGCCAATTCCCCAGACAGACACTCACTGGCTAAAGGTCAGGTCCTCTGACCTCCATAGAGCCAGCTATTGAAAGGGTCATGCAAATTAACATTTCCAGAGCTCATTCTGTCTTTCTTTAAACCAAGAATATGCATTATATTCATGTACAAAAGGTTCTTTCAAAATGACTAGTTCTAAAAATGCACAAGCACCAAAAAGACAGAGCAGGTTCAGGTAGGTCTCACGGAAGGCAAATTCCTCTGAAAAATGCACAACTGCCTGAGTGTGTCCACAGAAGGTTCTACATCCACTACAGACTGAAAGTATTTCTTTAAAAATTGCTGAAAACATACTTACTTTGTTGTCTTAATTCTGTGAACAATAAAGTATAATAATTATTTACTTATCAGTTTACATTGTACGAGATATTAAGTTATCTAGAAATGATTTAAAATATACCAAAGGAAATACAAAGGTTACACGGAAATACAATTCTATGTTGTCTAAGAGACTGGAATACAGGCAGATTTTGGGGCCAGAACCAGTCTCCTTAGGAAACCAAAAATTGACTGTGCTTGCTAATGAAATAAAGCAGAGAGCCATACAAAGTAGGAAATGTTGGCTGTGAGGTCCAGGATGCCAGGGGTGTCTGGGGAAGCCTGTTCCAGCACAGAGCACAGGTTTACAGAGCCCCTTCTGGGTACCACCGTTGTATTTTATATATGCCTCAAACCACATACCTTTCCGGTGGCTTGTCAGCTCTGTTGGCAGCAGGAGAGGTGGGAAAAGGAGATGAACTGGGTGAAGGAGATGGAACAGCTGGGTTGGGGCCTGATGTGGTTGGAGATTGTGGGTTAAGCCACTGGGCCATAGATGATCGAGTCTGGCCTGGGCTAAGGATGGAAGTTGAAGGACAGGATTAATAGCATGAAGGCCACAGACCTAACCACACAGCAACCCAGTTGAGAAGACCAGCTCCTGCATCTCTCCAGACTACCAGGGACACAGACATCTCTGTGTCCTCCCAGGTCTTAGCCCAAAGTACCTATCGAACACCCAAAAGTCAGCCACAGACTGAAAGCAGGGCTATCACACTGCACTTCTGCAGATTTGTGGGGAAGATCCACTCCTGTCTAACTTAGTGCCACATCTGTTCGCTATCATGTGCCCAAAATGGCTTGGATGTTCGAGGTACATCGTCTTGTATTTCTCTCCTCATAACCTGAAAATGCATTTAATGCACCTACCCTATCAAACATTTTAGCATCATGGTACACCACAGAGTATCCATCATTTCTCTTTGTGATCATACAGCTGGCTGGGAGCTGTAGGTCAGGGCTATGCCCCAACACCAAGAGTGAGTACCCCGTCACCTATCACCATGAAATGATTAGAATTCAAAGCACAGTTCCTGTATAGTGTCACTCTGACATTTTCGTAGAATTGGAGAATCCTAAGTCAAACCATCCTAAACTGGGGACCATGTACATTTCTTTCCTATTTAAAAAAAAGGCAGATCACAACAATCTTAACTGAAGTCTTTGACTGTGGCTGCCAAAGATCAACGCACAATATTTTAATATTTAAGCACTCTCAGTGGGTCATATATGTGTGGCAACACAGAAAAAGAAAATTGACATTAAAAGTTAGGATTTCCATAGAAAGAAGGAAGACAGGCACTGAAGAGTAAGAAACCAGTGAACAACAAATGATTCAAGCACTTGGTTCTACCAAGGTGAAAAAGACCATCCATAAAAGACTTCTGGAGGGATCTGTAAATACATAAATATGTGGTGATCTGAATTATTCTTCAATGATCTCAGACACGGAGCCCTGTGTCTCCAGTATATGAAGTTTCCTTCAAAAGTATAGTACAGAAAACTCTTCACTGTGTAAATTTCTCAATACATCCCCCATGCTGGGACTCAAACCCAGGGCCCTGGGGATGAGAGGCAAGTGCTCTACCACCAAGCGACACTGCCAGCCCCTTGACTGAGTTATTTCAACACAACTGCATTCAACATGTGCCACAGCCAGACACTGTGTACCACAAATTCATCCTCTTCAGCATAAACCAGTTCCCATGAGCAGCTTCCTTGCTCCGCATTCCTGAGCCTAGGCTTTACCTCTTCTGTGGCAGAACCAATGCCATGGTTTGTCCCCATTAATGCAGCAGAGCTCCTGGGCTGTACCCTTCTGCCTCCTCACCAGAAAAACGTTCCACTTGCACTGCTCTGTGTCCTCACTGCCAGAAAGGTCTTTTTACTAGTCCACAGCTCACTGTCCAAGGCTGCCACACGGAGCAACGGCAGGGCAGGTCCACCCCGTTCTACCTCCCTGAGAGCCTCATGCCTCTGCTGCCGGCCCAGCAGCCTCCCTTCTACAGCAGGCCCTTCTCACCTCTGCCGCATGTTGGCCTCTCTGCCTCGGCTTCCTCCTCCTCTGCCTACACAGGGGACTGGGTACCTCTGAAGCCGTGTCTCACCTATGCATGGCTGGGTAAGCTGGGCCTAGCTGCTCTCTGATTGTCATATATTTCTCTTGCCCTTGCAGTAAGAGCAGGTCCTTAACTGTTTATTTCTGTAGCCCTCATTAACACAGCTGCAATGATAGGCACATGAAACTTTCACCCGACACACACAAACCAATCCTGAAGTTCAAAGACTACAACTGGATTGTGTGAAGAAGTGCATTATTCACTTGGTAGACATTTAATGCACAAGTTTCTTAACTTATACTCAGAAAAGAGGGAGAAAAACAGCAGCAGCAAGACAACATTACTCTTTAAAGAATTTACTTATAGGCCGGGGATTTAGCTCAGCAGCATAAGCGCCTGCCTGGCAAGTGCAAGCTCATGAGTTCAATCCCCGGTACAAAAAAAAAAAAATTTATTTACAATTCCTCCGTCCAGCTGTTTATCTGGGAGTCATAAAACCTATTGCATCCCCCAAAAAAGATCTAAAAATCTTGAAGTATCTGAATCATCAGCTACAAAAGGCACTCAATTCTTCAGCAGAAAATGACTCTTTAATGGCATATTACTAATCAGGACGACAAAGGAGACCAAAGCATGAGTGAAGTTCTGATAGAGTATTTAAGGCTACAGTTAAGCCAAACAATTGCCATGAAATCTCCCAGCAATTATTCAAGGTGCTTCTACAGTGGTGGTGGATGACCAGATGCTGTACCACAGCTCTATCAACTCGGCTTCATTGTAAGAGGTCAGGAGATTAAGTGATGGCCATCCATCTGCTTAGAGGGAGGACAGCTGCAGGGCAAAGATAAACAGTGTGACTATTTACAAGGCCCTTTAAAAAATAAAGATCATAAGTTGCATAGCTATTACTTAATACATCTTTATTTTTAAAAGATTCACTTTTTCTTTTCCTACATGATGAGACAACATCCCTTGGTTTTTGAAAGTGAAAGAATTTTGGGAAGAATCAGTGCAGAAGATAAGGTCTGTCCCTTAGTTTTCCCCATTCTGTTTCAAACTAGCAAGTCAGAAACAGCAATCCCTGGCCAAGGTCAAATTTTAAAACTCACTTGTTATGTTTCTAAGACCTTTCTGTTGTTGTCCCACATACATATATGATATGTAATCCAGGAGTAACTGTTATGGTTTGTGTTTGGATGGCTGCTCGAGCCTCATGCTATCATGGCTGAATCGAGCGTTGTGATTAGCTTGTTGTCTAGTGCTAGGATTGGTGATGTGAGTGCTGCACCGGCTCAGGGGCAGAGCCAGCACACAATGTAAAGGCGGGAAGGAGAGGTGCTTTTCCCCTTTTGTCCTTTTGTTCTTGTTGCTTGCAGCAGCCATTCTCGGCCATGCCACCCTGCCTTGGAGCCAGCTGAGTATGGATTGAAACCTCAAAAAAAACTGTAAGATAAATAAACCTTTCCTTGCTTCGTTTTGGGTGCCAGGTATTTCGTCTCAAGAATGTGAGAAAAGTAACCAATACAGTACTTAACCTTTCAGATTTTTCAATTAAGTTTACATTTTGGTATCTGGCTTTTCCTTTCACTATCTCAGAAGCCTCAGCTAGACCTATTTTTGGACTTCAAAATCCTACAGGGGCACAAAGGCTGTGTAAGCTGCAGCACTCATCCGAGGTGCCAAAATGCAAGTCTGGAGAGTGTCCTCATGGAAACGAAGCAAGAGTCTTGCAGGCCTGCAAGCTATTATGGAAGAGAAAACCTGAATAAGCTTTGGAGGCCAGAGCAGAGAAGCTGCCTAGAGGAAAGGAACTGTTCACAGCTCTGTCCTCTGGGAAAGAGCAAGGGGAGGGTCTGAACTCTACTCATACAATGAGCCAATGCATCTGTCAATAGAAGTCAGAGGATGAGCATTCATAGGGATCTCCCAAAGCCTCTGAGAGCCAAAAACTGTAAAGACGAGCTTCATTATAATAATCATCTCTCATTTCCAGAATTTGAATAATCTTCCTAAAAGGAATAAAGAAACTTCAATACCTACATTTTCTCAAAGGTAGAGAAAAATATTGACATTAAAAAGATTTTCTGATAGTTATATCTTTCTTAAATTTTATTTTAAAACAAAAAAAAAATAAAAACAATGATACAAAATTTCAAAATAAATAGATTAACATAGTGTATATAGTTATCTTCAAAGTAGCTGCCCAGATTATAAGATGTAGCCATGAAAAAAATGATTAAATAATCATTCTTTTTGATGAGCTTAGAAACAGTATAATTTTCACACATATGTATGTGTATGTGTGTGTGTGTGTGTATAAAATCTTTCCTTTCATTTCTCCTTTCCCCTATCCCTGTTGTTCTCTCCTTTTTTCTTTTTTTTTTTGGTCTTTTTCCTTTTTATCGGTACCAGGGATCGAACTCACAACCGCACACTTGCAAGGCAAGCGCTTATGCCGCTGAGCTAAACCCCCAGCCCCTCCCTGTTGTTCTTTCCGTTTGAGTAGTTTTTTACCCTTTAAGTTACATAATACCTACTGTATATTTTGGATTTGTTTACTCTTTCCATTTTTTACACTAAGGATATAACACGATGTTTATATATGTGAGTCTGATTTATTTCACTTAGAGTATGATCTCAAGTAGCATCTATTTACCTATAAAAGCCTCGAGTTTATCATTCTTTATACCTGAGTAGTACACTCCATTGTAGAAAAATATCACATCTTTTTTATCCACTCTGTGGTTTATAGGCATCTGGGCTGTTTCCAAGATTTGTCTATTATGAATTGTGCTGCTATAAATGTGGGTGTGCATGTATCACTATATGATGTTTTCACTTCTTCTGAGAATATACCCAGAAGGGGAATAACTGGGTCAAATGGAACCTCTAATGCTAGTTTTTTTGAGGAATCACCACACTGATTTCCACAGTGGTTGCACCAGTCTACACTCCCACCAACGATGAAGGGTTCCTTTTTCCCCATACTCCAGCCAGCATTTATTGTTAGTTGATTTCTTGATAATAGCCTCCTGCCTTACCTTTGTTGCCCAGGATTGTCTTTGCTATCTTAGGTCTCTTCTATTTCCAAATGAATTTTAAGAATGCTTTCTCTACCTCTGTGAGGTATGCTAGTTGAATTCTGATTGGGATTACATTAAACCCATATAATCATTTAAGGTGTATGGCCAGTTTCGTAATATTGGTTCTTCCTATCTGTAAGCAAAGGATATCTTTCTGTTTCTGAAATCCTCAATTTCCTTTTCAGAGTACTGTAATTTTCAATGTATAAATCTTTTACTTCTTTTAGATTGACTCCTATGAACTTTTCTTTTTTTTGGATGTTATTGTGAAGGGTGTGTTTTCCCTAATTTTTCTCTCAGTGAGTTCATTGTTTGCATACAGGAATACTATTGATTTTTGATTGTTGACTTTGTATCCAGCTATGCTACTGAA